GCTGCGAGAGGCTGCAGTGCTGTGCGGGCGGCTGCGTCACACCCGAGCCCTTGCGGAGGGGACCGCCCCACATCCTCAGCCGTCGGGAGATTGCGACCCAAGGGGTCAGTCCCTGGTGTGTGGTGGGGGACTGCTCCAGGACAACATGGAGCCACGCGGCTGAGACACCTGCGCACTCTCCGTCCAGCGAGCCCTGGAGATTTTCCGTGTTGTCTCCCAGGTTTTCCCGGCCGACGCTGGAAGGTGCAGCAGATGCCCATCGCTTTTTACTTAAGGGCTTTTTCTGCTCTCTCGGGCACTTGAGTCTCCACTCAGTCAAGCCAAAGTGATCTTCAGGATTAAAGTACAGAGAAGAGAGGAACAAGTCACATAACACCGCAAGGGCACAACCAGGCAGGTCGAGAATATGGAACAATCTTTTAAAAGCCAGCTCATTTGATCGTTTTACAGTTAGCGGAGAGGAGCCACATCTGAGCCCTTTTTTTTTTTTCTTCTTCTTCTTATTTTACTGCTGGCTGTGAACTCACACTCCTCCTCTCTCAATTTACCAGTGTGCTGAGATTACAGGTGCACACTGTCATTCTGGAATTAAACTTCCTAAAACATAATTCTTAGCTTGTCACTTCCCGACTTAAAATTCTTCCAAATCTTACCATAGTAAGATGAAAAAAACATCTCTCCTCCTGGTCCTTTCACCAGGAACACCTCTCTGCTTCTTTCTCTCCATCTTCTAAATTTTTGTTCATTCTTTAGTTCTTCCTTAACTTTATTTTCTCTCAGGAACCTTCGTAGCTTCTAAGATCTGAGGTGGCTTACATCCCCTCCATAGCCCCAGGAATGCTGGGGTTTTGCTCTCTTCATACCTAGTGCATCTGTGGTCATTGTTTGCTGCCCGACAGCCTCCACTAGACTGTAAGGTCGGGTAGGACCAGTATTCCATAAGAATACAGTACTTCGCTGGGCGCAGAATGGCACACACCTGTAGCTCGAGCTCTTCAATAATTTGAGGGAGGAGGACTACTTGAGCCCAGGATTTGGGGGCCAGCCTGTGCAACATAAGTGGGACCTTGCTTCTTAGGTAAAAATATAGTACCGGTATTACTTATAACTACAATCAAGGACTTATATATGTGTAATTGAGGGTATAAGTGAAATACACAGATCTGAAGTTCAGTAGTGTAAGGAGCAGCTGAAACTGGAAACTGGTTATGTGTGGGAGCGAGGCAAGGCAGGTCCAAGGGGAAAGAACGCATGAGGCAATACAAGCCATTTCAGTCAAAGGAATCACCAAACCCCAAGACTATCCAAGCTATTAGTTGCTAGGCAAAGCAGTGTCATGTGACATTAACTTTGTCAAATGTATAAATAAATGTCCCTGTGGTGGTGGAGGAGTTTCTTTCCTCCCATCCAGAGAGGGCTCCATCTGACCTCAGTTTTTGGCTCTTGTCTTTATTTTCCCTGTTCTCTCGCCATTCACCACCCAACTTCAAGAGCTGTGCAGGACTAGGCACAGTACAATGCAGTTCATATACTTTTTTTGTGTCGTTTCATTAACACTTTGTGTATTAGATTCACCCATGTTGTCACATACATTTATCAGCAATTTTGTCACTTATTTCTGAGAAGGGGTATCCTATATCAATATAAACAGTTTATCCATTCACCTAGTAACAGAGGTTTGGAGTCTTCATATATTCAGTTGCATATCATTTTTTGTAGGCATATATTTTTTTTTAATTTTCTTGTGTAAATTATTAGAGGTAAAATATCTAGATCATGTTATATATTTTTTATATAATTCTATCTTATATAGATGTATAGGCCTTTAACTCAATATGTGGCCCAGGCTGCCCTCAAACTCACAGTGACCCTGCTGGCTCAGTCTCAGTGTTGGAATTACAGATATGTGCCAACAAGAAAGTAAATCTAAACTGAAAGCTGAAGAGTGAATTATCTAAGTAAAGTTAGTCTGGTATATGTTGTAAATAAAAGGGAGAAATTTTTACATTTAAAATTATACTTGGGGGCCTGGGGATATAGCTCAGTAGAATAAGCGCTTGCCTGGCAAATGCAAGGTCCTTAGTTCAACCTCCAGTACCGCAATAAATAAATAAAATTATACTTGGGCTAATTTCTATTACTTCATCAAAAGAAAAAATTAGATATCATGAATAATCTTTCTGCTAAAAAATCTTAACATTTAATTAAATATGAATATAAGTGTTAAAAACTCATTAATAGGCTAACAAAAACATAGATACCTCATACACACACACACATACACACAACACACCTGCCGGCCTGCCCCTGAGTCGCGCTGAGACAGTAATTGAGACTGGGCGTGGTGGCACACACCTGTAATCGCAGCTCTTGGGAGGCGGTAAACAGGCTGATCACTGTGAATCCCATCTAGTAGTGAGAACCTGAACACCCTGTAGACCCTGCCCTAAAAAAAATACAAAAAAACAGAACAAAGAAAAAAAAATAGATACCTAGAAGAGGGAAAAACAAGAGGAGGAGGAGACAAAAGAGAACAAGGAGGAGGAAATCTTATTAAAGCTAGCTGGGATTAAGGGTGAGGATGTAGCTCAGTGATAGAACATTTGACTAACAGGTCCATGGCCCTGGGTACTGTAAAAATCAATCAGTCAATCAAAATTAAGCAAAAGCCAGGGAGATGGCTCAGTAGAATAAGCGCTTCCCTGGCAAGCGTAAGGGCCTGAGTTCAATCCCCAGTTCAAAAAAAAAAAAAAAAAAAATAATAATAATAATAATAAATAAATAAAATAAAAATTAAGCAAGGTAGAAAACAGACTTTCCCTTGATACCATAAACTTAAGCACAGAAACTGCATTCGTTTACTTTATACTATCTTGAGTACACACAACTAGAAACAAAGCATAAAAGATACTCAAGGTGTGAAATCGGGTATGGTGGCACAAGTCTGTAATCCCAGCACTCCTGAGGCCGGGGAAGGAGGACTGCTGTGAGGTTGAGACCAGCCTCAGTCACAGGGAGTTCAAAGCCAACCTGAACAACATGGTGAGACCCTGTCTATATATAATGTATAACATAACATGTATATATAATGTGTATATATGTATAATGTACATATATAATGTGTATATATAATATATACAATAAATACATATCAGAAACCCCCTTGCATAAAACATAGTCTGAAAGACTTCACTGAAATACTTTTTTTTTTTTTTTTGGTGGAACCGAGATGGAACTCAGGCCCTTGTGCTTGCCAGGGAAGCGCTTATTCTACTGTGCCAACTCCCCAGGCCCTGAAATACACAATTCTTAATGTGCCATTTTAACAAAGCCCCACCAATTTCATAGCATACTTCATTGGGTAAGGCTATGAGAAACTGTCACTGTTACATGTTGTTAGCAATCATACAGAGGAAAATTTAGCAACATCTGTCAAAATTGCATATGTATTTATCTTACTGACTGCAGTCTTCACTTCTAGAACTCCACTCCAAATTTGTAAAACTACAAAAGCACATTTGCATAGTTATTTGTGACAAGATCACGTGTGATAACAAAACCACACAAATAACCAACCCATGCGCCCATCAAGAAGGTCTTGAGTGAATACATCGAATGCTCAGTGGAGTGCTGTACTGTGAAGTCGTCAAAAAGACCGAGAATCAATACATACGGATATGGAACAATACATTGCTAAATGAAAGTTACACAACTGCATATAAATGTTTCCTTTTGTGTTCAAACAGAGGGAAATAAGGGCTAGGAATATAGCTCAGCGGTACAAGCACCTGCCTGGCAGGTGCAACGTCCTTAGTTCAGTCAATTCCCGGAACCAAAAAAAGGTGGTGGTGGGGAATTCTACGTCTCTGTGTGTGTGCTTATACGGGCTAAAAAAAATGACAGGAAATACCAAAGTGCACCAAGCGGGCTGGGGGGATGGCTCAGTGGAATAAGCGCTTTCCTGGCAAGCGCAAGGGCCTGAGTTCAATCCCCGGTTGTGCAAAAAATTAATTAATTAAAATTTTTTTTAAAAAGTGCACCACGCCCAAAGGTCTTCTGTGACGCATAATGAAGAATTCCTGGAAAACCAACCGCCGCTAATGAAGCCTTTAGCATCGGCTTCCAGTCTAAAGAAACAGGCAGGATGGCTACACAAATTTTCGAGAAAAGTCCACTGAGAAAGAAACCACACACTCTGAATGTGGGAAAATAGGAATACTGACTCGTTTCACAGGTCAGTGCAGGAAGGGGGTTGGCTGAGATAGCGATGGGGACACGGCTCTTTAAGAGGCATGGTGATCAGATATAACTCTTCTGAAAAACCGATTGCACAAGACGTTTTGAGAGAAGCCAGGAATTTGACCACGGATGGACTGCTGAGCGACGCTGCGCTGGCAAAGCCCACTCTCAAGTGTGAAGAAATCTGCCCATGGCTTGCTTCCCAGGAAGCTGACGCTCCTTCGCTATTGCTAAGAGCCAAAGAATCCCTCGCAGCCACGCGTGCTTGGCTCGGCTTCCCAAGCCCCGCGCTGCGACGCAGACGCACTGGTTCCGCCTTCCCACCAATCTCGACCCTCGACGCGTTCCGTCGGCGCGTGCGGACCGGAGTCGAGGCGACTCGGGGCCGCTCGGCGGGCAGGGGCTGCGGTGCGCCCAGCTACGGCGCGGATGGCGGACTCGCAGCTGTTCTGCGTGGCGGAGGAGCGCAGCGGGCACTGCGCCGTGGTGGACGGAAACTTCCTCTACGTGTGGGGGGGCTACGTGGTAAGGGGAAGAGTCGGGGCGGGACGGACTGGCGCCCGGAGCCCACCCGGCCGCTCTGTCGGAGGGGACGCCGAGCGCCGCCCACGCAGTGCCCGCGGTGGGCGCGTCCTGCTGCCCGCGCGCCTGGCGTCCCCGCGCTCGGCGGTCCGGCCGTTGCTACCTCCCTGAAACCTCCGCACCCGGGTTCCGGGCGCTTCCCTTCCCCACCGAGCTTAACCCGGGGTTTGTCTCAGACAGTCACTTCCGCGCGGTTAATTGGCATCCTAAATCCTGGCGCAGACATGAAAGGAGTCGAGAACGCCGTGATGTGTCATTGTGTGTTTATTTGCTTTTCCCACGGCGAGACGTGAAATAAAATCTCGAAATCAGCGAACCAGTTAAATATTTCCAAGCTAATTTTAAGGACGTTTCTTTACCAGTGAATGATTATGGATTTTACTCCCCACAAATTTCAAAGTAGACTCATAGTAGCAACACTTTACCAAAGAATATTGTGGTTTAAAATTCGGAGGGAGCCCAGTAGAATAAACTCCTGCCTGGCAAGCGCAGGGTCCTGAGTTCAATCCCCGGTACCGCAAAAAGAAAAATAAGATAAAATTAGGAGTACAATGGAGGTTGCACTGTGTGTGTTTTTGTATGTTTGTATGTCTGTTGCCTCTAGAATCGTAGGATTCGAGCAAGGATTATAAATCAGGAAAGCAATTGAGGGATGTGTGCCAACTTTCTTAGCAGTTTTTTGTTTTTAAAAACCCTCTGGAAGCTCGACTAAAAATAGAACCTACATGTTGTGAGTGTTCCATATGACAGTCCTGTAACATGACAAAATCACACTGAAATATATACCAAGTATATTAGTAAGTCTCAGGTGCAAGTTGTTTTTTGTGTATTTTTCTTAATATAGTAGCAGAAAAATTTTAAAATTACTCTTTGAGCACTTACTATATTTCCATGTGCTAGGAACTCTGCTGACCCTAATCTTGTGTAATCCTTGTTATAATCTTGTAAAGTAGCCAGCGTCTTCATTTTATAAAGAAAGATAGCTAATGAGTGTAACTTTAAAGACGTACTTGACCTCAAGGGCAGCAGATTCCAGCCTAAATATATGGGATAGCCAAAGATTTTTTTAAAATTATTAATTAAATGATTGCTAATATTTCTAGGGTTTTTAAAAATAAAATTAGGATGGAAATGATGGTTATGTGCACAGAATTTTTCGATTGTTTTTGAGCTGTGCCGTTTAAAGATGTAAGGTGTCAAATTTCATCTGCTGTGTTTATGTTCTAAAGATCAAGTGAAAAAACCTTTTTTTTTTTTTTTTTGCGGAACTGGGGATTGAACTCAGGCCCTTGCCCTTGCCAAGCAAGAGCATATTCTACTGAGACATCACCCTGGCCCGAAAAAACT